TCCCAGGCCTGAAGACACAGCCTGCCAGCTGACAGTCATACAAAGAGAAAGGTGGCCTTCCTCTGGAGCTCAGACTAAATTTTAGCCACACTTGCTGCCTTGGATGTGTGCAGTGCCAAAATTACCCAGTGACTGGCAGCTGTCCTGTTGGGTAGACCAGTTGCTCCAGAGGCCCCACATAAGCTGCTGCAGAAACATCTGGGGATATACTTCATATAGAGTCCCAGGTTCCCCAGAGACTCTGATTCCTTGGTTCATCTGCTGGTGTTACTGTTATGGTGGTGGTGGTGGTGGTGGTGGTGGTGGTGGTGGTGGCGGTGGCGGTGGCCATGGGCTCTGAGGCCAGAGACTGGTCCGTCCCCCTGGTGGCCTGGGAGGTCCTGGGGTCGGTCTTGTTGCCAGACAAGCGAGCGGCCTTGGGGTCCAGGTCCTCCTTGCGGTCCAGATACTCCATGGCTTTCTTCACCCAGTCCTCCTTGGGGTCCGCACAGGGCTCCCTGCCCCCTTTGGTCTTAAAGCTGCGGGGACAGAAGACAGGGACCTGTGATGTCCAGGTGCCATGGGGTGGGGGTGCCACGCCATGCCCCGCAGGTGAGCAGACCGGCTGGAAGTCCTGCCCAGCCACTGACTACTGGCCGTGAGCTTAGCTGGGGGACCTTGGCCCCTGGAACTTCTGTGTCCTCGCCTGGGAGGTGGAACTGTGATCCCTGCTCTCTGTGGGTGACCAGCCACCCAGACAATGGGGGCTGAGGGTGTTCCCGGGATGCAGGCCTCTTCGTGAGAGTCCAGGCAAACGGGGACCAGTGGGTCACCCTGCTTCTGTCTTATGATTATAAAAAACAAACATTTTGTAAAGCATTTGGCTCAGGCCCTGGCCGGTTGCTCAGTGGTTAGAGCATCGACCTGCAGGTCACCGGTTAGATTCCTGGTCAAGGGCATGTACTTTGGCTGCAGGTTCAATCCCTGACCGGGACCACATCCCAGAGGCAGTCAGTTGATGTGTCTCTCTCACATTGATGTTTCTCTCTCTCTCTCTCTCTTCCCCCTCCCCCCTCCTCTCTTCCTTTCACTCTCTAAAAATCAATAGAAAAAATATCATCGGTGAGGATTACCAAATAAATCATGCTCTTCAGCCCTTTTTTTTCCTTTTTTTAAAGAAAAAAAATTAAGCAAGCTAAAGAAAAACAAGGCCCCTGGCTCAGAGTAGATCCGTAACTGCTGAATAACAATCTTACTAATATCTTACTAATATTGTCCTTGCCATTGAGGTGGGGGCTCTGAGCTGGGAGTCTTGGTTGGAGGGAGCGGTGACAGGTGTTCTCTGCCGCCAGGTGAGTGACTGGCAAGCTCCCTGGCGGGACCTCCTCACCCTGGAAACGGACCGATGTCACGGGCCGTCTCCCTCTCCTCCCTCTGGATCACGACCCTTCTCTCCTAGTGTGTGTGTGTGCGTGTGTGTGTGTGTTGGCTTGGAGACACAGTCATGTATGTGGTGGCCACATTGGGGCCCTGAGTGCCACCAAACCTTGAGTGTCCTCTGAAGCCCGATGTGGCTGGTTCACTGCCGGACACGGCCCAGAGGTGACCGGCCCTTGCTCCGTGTGTGGCCTGCGCCTCTCGCCCCTCCTGCAAGGTGGCTACCACGCTCATCCCTGTTTTGCAGAGAAAATCAAGCCTCCAGGGTAACAGGACCGCTCCCAGGCCCGTGTGCTGGGCGCCACAGCTGTCCAGGAGGCCAGCGTGATCCTGTGCGGCCCCCCAGCTGAGCCCTCCCCGGTGCTTCCCGCTTCCCCTGCCCCTAGGAAACAGAAGCAAATATGTGGGGGGGCCCGGGGCAGCAAGCCTGGGGTGCGGGTGGGGCGGCAGAGAGGGCTCCTGCAGCAACTGCACACTCGATGGGCGGTCGATGGGAGCGCACGCCTTCTCCGAGCTAAGCCTGGATTTCAAAGGCCCACTGGCCATTCCTTTTTTAATATATTTTTATTGATTTCGGAGAGGAAGGGAAAGGGAGAGAGAGCTAGAAACATCAATGATGAGAGAGAATCATGGACCGGCCACCTCCTGCATGACCACACTGGGGATGGAGCCTGCAGTCTGGGCATGTGCCCTGACCAGGAATCAGACTGTGATCTCCTGGTTCATACGGTAATGCTCAACCACTGAGCCACGCCAGCTGGGCCCACTTCCTGCTGCCAGGCCTCTGGGTCCTGCTGCACTGCTTTAGGGCCTACAGTCCTGAAGAAAGGCCTCCGGGATGGGCCACTGGTCAGTACCAAGGGGCCAGGGGTCCCCACGGCTGAGAGGAGCTGGCTTGGCTGGGCCCCTGCCCAGAGTACGTTAGTTACATTATCTCCTTCCATCCTCCCAACCACCCACTTTGCAGCGGGCGGGCAGGCGCTGTGACCAGGGCCACCAGCCTGCGAGTGGCCGAGCCAGGATTTGCCCATGCCTGTTGGATTCTGGAGTCTGCACTTTGAGACCCCCAGGACGTACCTCCCCCAGGAAGCCCAGCAGGCTCCGGAGCTGCAGAGAACGTTCTTTGGCCCAGGAGAAGTGAGCCTTCGTGGCTGCTCCGGGCCACAGGCCATGCAGGAAGCCGCTCCCCACCTTGCTTGCGGCGCGGATATTAAGGTCAACGAGGGGGCAAGCAGGAGGCCCTTGGCCAGGAGCCCGGTGGGGCTGGGAGGAGGTGAGCATGCATTATCAGAGGTCGGGGGCGGTCCCCAGGGCCTGACAGGCATGCAGAGGCGGAGAGGGTGGTACCTACATGATGGCAGGTGTGCGGCAAGATGGTTCCGTTCGTCGATAGCTCTTTAGGAGTCTCAGGGGGATCTCCCGGGTCATTGCCATTGCGTTGCATATGACGCTGCATGTGTCCACACTGTGGTGCTGTCCTGAGCCCACAGAAGCCCCCAGTCAGCAGAACTGTCTGGGGGCACCTGGCTTCTCAGCCCCATGCCAGCTGGTCCCAGCCACACCACCCAAGAGCCAGTGCCCTGCACACCTGGCCTTCAAGACCCTTGACCTCAGCCCTCCACCCTGCCCCCATCCCGCCCATCCCTGGCCAAACCTCTCCATGCCTCAGTTTCCCCACCTGTAAAATGGGGACAATGATAGTATCTACCTCACAGGGTAAAGCTCCTATGGCCTGCCGCATAGTAAGTGTTTAGCTTCCAGAATTAAGTTGCTATAATTGGTCTGTTGTAAACAGAGGGGCCGAGTCTGAGACTGACAGGGATCTGCCGGAGCTCACATAGCCAGGAAGTAATAGGACAGGCTCTCCTACCAGGCCTGGCTCCCATCATGCTCCTGGGCCTGTGGTGCTGCCCATGCACCACTCTTGTTGCCTTTACCCCAGGAAGTCACCTGCTCAACTATCACCCCCCCATACACACCCTATCCCTCCCTCTCAAGTGTCCATATTCATGGATTTCCATGACCTGAGACACACCCAGCCCTCTTGCCATCACATCTCATGTGCTTATCCGTGACATGCTCACACATACACACATACACAGCAACAAACACAGTGGCATATCCTATAGAATAAAAGGCTAATATGCAAATTGACCAAACAGCAGGATGACTGGTCACTATGATGCTCACTGACCACCAGGGGGCAGATGTTCAATGCAGGAGCTGCCCCCTGGTGGTCAGTGTGCTCCCACAGGGGGAGCTCAGCTCAGCCAGAAGCCAGGCTCATGGCTGGCGAGTGGTGGTGGCAGGAGCCTCTCCAGCTTCCGCAGCAGGCAGCGCTAAGGAAGTCCGACTGCGGGCCTAAGCCATCAGTTGGACATCCTCCGAAGGCTCCCAGACTGCAAGAGGGCACAGGCGAGGCTAAGAGGCCCCCCTCCCGCACCACCCCCAGTGCATGAATTTTGTGCACTGAGCCTCTAGTACACACACACGCACACACACAGGCATACATACAAATACATACAACCTGGCACATGTAGCAGATAATATAATAAAACATTTTTTAAAAAGTACAACCTCCTCTAAGAACAGTGGGGAGGGGTCTGCTTTGTGGACCATCCTTTGTTCTGTCATTAAGAACCAGGTGCTCCTGGCTGGTGCGGCTCAGTAGTTGAGCATTGTCCTATACACCAGGAGGTCGGGGTTCGATTCTGGTCAGGGCACATGCCAGGCTGGTGGACTCGATCCCCAGTAGGGGGCGTGCAGCAGGCAGCCGATTACTGTTTCTCTCTCCCATGGAAGTTCCTTTCTCTGTGAGGAAGGGGGTGCCTGGGGTGGGAGCAGAGTTGGGGAAGCAGGGGCCTGCAGATGGCTGGCTACCAACCACATGGAGTCAGAGAGAGACCCCAAGACAGGATGAGGGTGACTCAACAGACACTTGAGAACTCGAATATTTTATATAAAACATTTGAAGTGGTTTGCATTGCATTCCCAACTCCCCCCCTCTCCCCCCGCTAAAATCTTCAGTAACATTTCTTTGTTTGGTGTAAGCTGGGCAGGGGTATGTAAAAAATGAGGAAGAGACTGAGTTTCAGTTCTGGGTCAAGGTCATACTGCAGCAGAAGCAAGACCCTGGAACGTTTTACAAAAATCCAGAGTCAGGACTTCCACACACACACACACACAGCGGAGGAGAGAGAGCAGCCGATCTTGTCTAGCTCTGCAGGGCCCTGCAGGCCCCAGCTGGTGCCTGGGCTCCACCAAAACACACATTGCTCATGCACAGGCACATGTACGTGGACATGCAAACATGCACTGGGGTGGGGAGGGGGTGCTCCCAGCAGCTGCTCCCTGAGTCATGGGCTGGCTGCCTTTCTCTCTTTGGAAAGTCCCCTGGTTGCCTGTCTCCCTTTTCCCCCTGCAGGACCTCGAACCACCCCACCCCGCTGCAGCGCCCCCAGGCCCTGGTGAGCCGAGCCAGGAGGCAGCTCCCTGGACTGGCCTGGGAGGTGTCTTTCTGGGAAAAGCCGCAGAGAAAAGGTGCCCCACTGGGTGGGAAGGAGGAGCTAGGTAAGGTCAGTTCGCTCTCTGGACTCAAGTTCCCCGGAGGGGGAAGGCCACTGTCACCTCGGGGGCTTTAAGGAGCCACAGAGTCAGCCTGTCCCCACAGCCCCCACCCTCTGCCACGGTGCCTGAATGCCCTCGGCCCGCTCTGCTCCAGGGCCTGCCCAGGGAAGGTTGGGTGACTAACCGAGGCCTATTTCCTTCTTGGAACTGAAGTTTTCTCTCCTGTCTATGGAGACAGTGCCTCCGGCCAGCCAGTCATTTATGATCTCTCACTTGAGTTTCAGGAGGGCAGGTGCTTGTCTGTCTCGGTGTCATAATGTCTTCCAGCACAAAGTGGATACTCAATAAAGATTCACTAAGTGAAATAATGCCTCAGTCTACTTATTCCTCTACCCCCTATCCATCCACCCGTCTGTCTGTCCATCTGTCCATCCATCCATCCATCCATCCATCCATCCATCCATTTATCTGCTCTCTCTTGTCAATCCTTTATTCATTCCACATCCACCCATGTGTACCTCCCACCCATTTCTGCTTACCCCACCCATCCATCTACGCAGCCCCCACTCACCCACTTACCACCTTCCACCTGCAACTCATCCTCCATCTCCTCTCATTTATCCACTCATCCATCCCTCATCAGCCCACTCACCTATCCTTCATCTATCTGTCCATCCATCCATCCATCCATCCATTTATCCATCCATCTGTCCATCCATCCATCCATCCATCCATCCATCCATCCATCCATCCATGTCCTGATTCAGCCAACATTTGTTTGAATTACTTTTGAATATCTACAAAGACCCAGGTCCTCTGTCCTTAACCCTGAACTTTCTCCCAAGGGTACCGGTGCTGCGCTTGGAGAGAACCTCACTCCCAATAAACGCTAGCAGGTCCTGTGTTGACGCAACCAACAAATGCTAACCCTCCATCTTGCCGGGAATAGCGGGTTGAACAAAGCCTGCCGCTGCCTTCAGAAAGCTCCTGGCCTGATGGGCAGCTAAGACATCCCACAGAGTCCCAGAGAACTTCCTACTGGAGCACCTACTATGTGTCAGAGCCTGCGCTCAGCACGCACACATCGGATCTCATTAATTCTCAACAGCCCTGCCGAGGGGGTGTGGTTATGCCCATTTCACAGATGCAGACGCTGGAATCAGAGGGGAAATGACAGGCCCGAGAGCACACAGCTGCTTAGTGCCAGATTGGTTGTCTTCCCAGGTCCGAGACACCCCACTTTTCCAGGGTAACACACCGTGTTTCCACATACATCCCGATTGTGCTGAGGGTTACACGAGGGAGAGACCACTCCCTGCTACAAGTAATCCGGGAGGCTTCTTGGAGGAGGTGCCTCTAAGGCTTGTCCTCAAGGACTTCGAAGAGGCCACAGACAGGAAGGGGCAGGAATGTTCTGGGTCTCTGAGTGAGGCGATAGAGGGCTTGAGCCCATGCTAGGTGTGTGTCCTAGATGAGACCCTTGGGCTGTCCGAGCCTCGATTCCCTGGCCTGTGAAATGGGCACAATAATCCCCGCTTCACAGGGTGGTTGTGAGAATAAAGCTTTTTCAATATCTGGACCCTCAGAGCAGGGTTTCCTCAACAGCAAACACCACTGACCTTTCGGACCAGGTAGCCCTCTGTCATGGGGCTGTCCTGTGTCCTGTAGGGCCTTTGGCAGCATCCCTGGCCTCTACCCTCTAGGTGGGAGCACCCCCCAACCAAAAAATGGTGGGGCGTTTAGAACCACCAAAAATATCTCCAGAAATTGCCAGATATTCCCCTGGGGGCAAACCCTCACTGCAGACCACTGCCCTGGAGATATCCACATGCCCTATCCGCCCCCACCCCCCGTACCCCCGTACCCCCCTGTCTCCCTCCCAACCTCCCTCCGTGCCTCCTCCTCAGGGAGGCCTCCCTGGGCTCTTACTTAAAATTTCAACCCTCTCTTTTGCCCCCCTTTTTTTTAATCACAGCATTTTTTTCTCCTTCTAACAGATCAAATTGTTTACTGATCTATTTTGTGTATTGTCTACCTTCACCAATCAATGTTCACGGCCCGAGGCCTGGGACCTTGGGCGGTTTTACTCATTGATCTTGTCTCAGGACCAAGAACAGTGCCTGGCACATAGTAAGTGCCCAAGAAATAGTTGTTGAATGAATCAGCAAAATGCACCCAGAAGCACCGTGTGACATAGACCATCTCAACCAATGGGGAAAGAGAGGCATTTTTATTTCAGTCCCACGGGGGCCTGGATCCAACACCCCGCATTTATCCTCCCGTGCCTTCCCCATCCGCCCCTCACCGCTAAGCAGGGGGGTGGACTACAGCAGCTTAAAGCTGATTTTTTTTTTCTCTTTCTTGCCGGG